GCGTCGTGTGTGTGTGTGTGTGAGGGGAACAGGGTCACATCACAGGAGAGTGAACTGAAAAAAATTCTGATGTCTGTCAGAAATCATAGCACGTCAGCTGTCTTAACCGTGGCTTGTGTACTGCATCATCACTGTGTCTGTCACGCGACTCTGTTGCCCTTTCGGGCTTGAACTGATGGTAAAACTAACGACATTATTAACTGTCTTGATATTTACTTTGAAAGCTTGAAGCTGCGATTATGGTAAGGGGCGTTACATTTCCGACGAGTGCTTGCGGTGTTCGGCCAATCACAATGCACTGGGTCAGCTGGCCAATCAGAGCAGACTGCGCTTGTCAAAGGAGGGGGCTTTGTTGAAAACGATGTGTTTGAGAGAGGCGGGGCATAGAGGACCTACAATAATGTACAGTATTTGAAAAATAATGTGTTTTTTGAACATTAAAGCATGTCAACATATTCTGTTACACCAAATACACAAAATAATGATCTTTAAAATAGCATCATATGACCCCTTTAAGTGTAGTGCTACTTGATTTTACATTTTAAATTATATATTTCAAATGCACTTAATTGCAACTTCATCATTACAGATATATATATAAGTTTAAATAGAAATGCCATTCAAGTACATTTCAGTTTACCAATGTAAATTTGTCAGTACATTTGTTAGTACACTTTAACCGTATTTTAAAGTCAAAAGAAGTGATGAACTTAAGTGATGTACTTACAATTATAAAGATGTACATAAGTTCTACTTAAATAGGTCTCTACAGATCAGCTAACTGCATTTAATATGAATTTAAACTTTAATAACTTTTAATTTTATTGCAATTAACTTGCAATTAAGTGTCCGAAAAGATTACATTCTGTTCACACTTGAGTATATTTATTTAATCTACATTATTTCAGTAATGATACTTTTGTTAAAAGTATGCTGATGTGTATTACTTTTTTCACAAGGGCATGAATAAATTATGATGATGACTTTATTACTTTTTTTTTACGTAAACAAGAATAGTAATAAAGAATGGTTGGATGTGACCAAACTTTTGACTGGCAGCTACAATTTTTCAATTAGAGAAGCACAGTTACTAGGCAAGGCAAGGAAAGGCAAGTTTATTTATATAGCACATTTCATACACAATGGTAATTCAAAGTGTTTTACATCAAAGAAAAGAAAATAACAATAACAATAAAACAAGGAATTTGAAAACTTTGAAAATTATTTAAAAATTGATTTAAGAGGTTTATAATGAATTTAAAACAGTTAATAGAAAACGATTATACATAATCCAACTGTTAATTTCATCAATGCATTGGCAGAGGGAGTCAATGGGTCTGTAGTCATTTGGTGATAAAGTTAGGTAAATAGGCAATTTGGTTCTTTCTCATTATTTGACTTAGTGGGAGCATATACAGGCTAAACAAGAGCGGTGCAAGAATTTAGCCTTGTGGGACTCTGCATGTCATGGATGTCTACTTAGACTTGTGCTCTCCTATACTCACATAATAACCTCTCCCTTCTAAGTATGACCTGAACCATTTGATTACCATCCCAGAAAGCCCGACCCAGTTTTCCAGTCTCTCTAGTAGTATGTTATGATCGACAGTGTCAAACACAGCACTGAGATCTAGTAGTACCAGCACTGATATTTTGCCAGAATCAGAACTACAACAATATCCCCAGGTTTCGCTGAAGGGTTTATTACCTGTGACACAGCAGCCAGTGTCAGGGGCTCTTTCAGAGGGGTCGGTTGACACTCTGAAAACACACATCCCTTCACGGTACGAATAACAGGACCATCCACCTCATCAAGAGGGAGAGCATCTGTAAAACACACAGACAGTGATTCAGTCAGTCAAGGTGTAAAACAGCATGTTTACACTCATAATGTAAATCTTACCTGAAAGTTTATGTGATAATGTCAGTGGTATTTCTCCGTATGTTTTTACATTGGTATAGAAGTGATTCTGCTCAAAGTCTCGTTCATTACAACTTTTACTCTCACAGAAATCTTGTTCGTCCCTACATGTAGTGCTAGCGACGGACGATAAAAATAAAAATAATGTGAAACCATGTTTTGTCATTACATCAATCTCACAAACATCAAGTTATTTGCATCCGTACTTAACCTCATCACAGAACTAGAGGAGAAATCAGTACTCTTTCCTTTGTTACACAAACAATACGCTGATGTTCGACTAGGGGGCGCTCGGGGGCTCAAAAAGCTATGTGAATCTCTGGACTTTTCTTTTTTTTTTTAGTGCCTACAAAATACAACTGATTAAATCTATTAATTATATGGATTCAGAACTTTTAATTTTATAGATTCAGAACCTTTTTTTTCTTCCTTTTAAGCCACCTCCCCATTTTTCTATTTTCTATTAAACCTCATCTGGACACTTTTATCTCCAGCAACCCCAAGTCATAAAAAAACTATTTCATTAATAATCAATATTTATTGTTGCAATAATTAATTTTATCTATTAACACATGTATCTATTTATATCTATCAACTAAAATAACGATAATATAATTTAAATTTAAGGTGTCCTTGTTACACGTTACATGTACTTACTGTTATAATAACAGTACATTATGCATACTTGCATACAAGTAACCCTAAGACAAATCCTAACCCTAACCATATAGTAAGTACATGTAGTTAATTAATATTACTCAGTACTTAAATGTATAATTCCACTGTAACAAGGACACCATAAAATAAAGTCTAACCCGAAATTAATACTACTTTTTCAGTATGGTTGCAGTCAACTTGATCAAAAGTGACAGTAGAGACATTTAAAATGTTACAAAAGATTGTTACAAAATATTCCAAAAGATGTTTCTATTGTAACTATTTATCAAAGAATCCTAAATAAAATGTTTCACAGTATCCACAAATATTAAGCACAACTGATGATTTCACAATGTTATGTGAATATTATATGACTGTACTTTTTATTAAACAATTTTTTTTTTAAAAGATACAGATTTTGAAATTGACTTTAATACACCAAGTGTCAACAAGCCCTGATCTCACTTATGTGTACATTCATAGTTTTTGAAGTAATTTTCTTCTTTCATTTATTGTTTTAATAAATAAGGACAACTTTTTTTAAAACAAATTTTGGTTACGCTTTATCTTAAGGTGTCCTTGTTACAGTGTGATAATTATACATTTAAGTACTACGTAATATTAATTAACTAGATGTACTGCTATAAGTTTAGGGTTACTTGGATGTAATTCTGTATAATTAATTGCAATTATTATAGTAAGTACATGTAACATGTGTAACAAGGACACCTTAAAATAAAGTGTTACCCAAATGTTTAATGTGTTTATTAAGTACTTGCATGTTTGTGTTTCAGACACAGGAATAGATGTCTGTACAGAACACCACGAGTCTGTTGCAGTATATGCAGTGATACAAAGCTAAAAGATCCTTTCTCACTAGCACAAAAAGACTTGCAAAATTTATATGAAGACATAAAAAAGGTACATCAAGAGCACTTACCCAATGTAAAGTTTTATAGCATTTTATGCCTTATAGGCCTTATAAAACAAAGTACTGAAACTGACCTTTGAACTTCCCATTTCAGCAGTTGCTCGTCTCTAAAGCGGAGCTGAAAGCGCTGTGTGATTATTACTTTGATGGAAAGGGAAAAGCCTTTCGACCAATGATTGTAATCCTGATGGCTCGAGCTTGTAACGTCCACAGCAATAAAGAGGGGTGAGAAAGCACTTCAGCGCTGTGTGTGTATTCATAATGTGATGCATCAGTCAGTGTTAATAACGCAGATCTGATGTCTTCAGGGTTCTGCTGCCGGCGCAGCGCTCCATCGCTATGATCTCTGAGATGATCCACACTGCCAGCCTGGTGCATGATGACGTTATTGATGATTCAGACACAAGACGTGGCAAAAACACCATTAATCAAGTCTGGGGAGAGAGAAAAGTGAGTAACCCATCTGATCATAAGATAGATTTTAGGGTCTTAATAAAATCTTAATTTGCCCTTTCAAAAATGAAGGTCTTAAATCAAAGCAGAAAGTATTAAATTCCTAAAGTTATGCCATTACATTTTGTTAAGTGAAATATAAATTATTTTCCACAATATTTTTTTTTTTTCCCAATACATGCACACACACATATATATATATATATCCTTAAGTCAAGATACATTGCATAATTACAATGTAATTAAGCAAAAGATACATGCTAATTAAACATATGAAGTATAGTTTTCTGAGGAATTCTGAGGAACATTAAGTGAGTAATGTATATTTATATATATTTTATATATACATATATATTCGTGATATATATATATATATATATATATATATAAATGTGAAGGAAGATTTTTTTTAAACATTGCTGTTGTATTGTTTTGAACAAATACAATTATTTTGATATAGACTTTGAATTTTTTTAATTAAAAAAAAAAAGTCTGATCCTTTTCCTATGTAAATATACTGCATATAAAGGCTACTGTATAACTACACATATACTGTATATTTAGACTGTACGTAAGGACTGAAATATATGTCAAATAGCCTAGCTTCACTGTGAAAATACTGTGAAAAGTAGTTTTAGTAGTGCAAAAATAAATAATTTTAACCATTTAACATCAAATAAAAGCCAATAAAACTGATGGTGTTGTTGAAAACACATTAGAATCAAATGAGTTTATCGTTTATAATTATTGTGAACGCCAAAATATTTCCTTAATAGCTGTGAAGTCACATGTCAAATTTTTAAAATACATAATCAAAACATATTCTTTCAATATGCTTATTTTTTTTTTCAACTCAGACCTGTTGATGACTCCTTTTGAAGAGTTTTTTTTTTGGCATGTATACTAAAGTTATTATAATAACAGCACAGTTTTTGGAAAAAAAATTTTTTTTTTTTTTTTTTTTTTTTTTTTTGCAGTGTAATTAGAAGGTACAGTTAAAGTTATTTCCAGATTCTAGTAGTTTGGAGCAGAAGCATTCAAAACATATGCTTTTTTTGTAAAACGAATTATAGTAATGTTGCAAGTTGTATTTTTATACTTGAAACATTGCTAATATAATACATTTACATTTAGAGACTATATCGACACACTGTGTTCTTTTCAATTTATTCCCAATTTTGTGTGCTTGGTCTTATAAAGGTCTTTTTAAAATTTGCTTTCATAAAACCTTCAGAAACCCTGTTGATGTTCAGTGTGAAATCTGATGAATTGTTGTTAGTGATTTGAAAATAAGCAACAATATTATTATTATTTAATTTTTTAATCTGGAACTGTTAGGCTATCCTGGCTGGAGATTTCATTCTGTCAGCGGCATCCATGGCATTAGCACGTATTGGGAACACTACAGTAGTGTCTGTGCTGTCACAAGTCATAGAAGACCTTGTGCGAGGTAAGTCAGTCTGGATTTGATTTATGATACATGTTTTATAAAGTGGAACTTTTTTATTTTTTAATATATATTTTTCGTTGCTAAATTCCAGGTGAATTCATGCAGCTGGGGTCTAAAGAGAATGAAAACGAGAGATTCAAGCACTACCTTGAGAAAACCTTTAAGAAGACCGCAAGTCTCATTGCGAACAGTTGTAAAGCAGTATGTACGTTCTGTCTTAATAATAAGATGAAGTTCAGAGCTGAAAAAGAAGTTAAACACCAGTGTTTTTTCATTTGAATTGTAGGTGTCAATTTTGGTGAATTCTGATCCTGAGGTGCATGAGATCGCCTATCAATATGGACGAAATGTTGGCATTGCATTCCAGGTAATTTTCTGACGTATGTGTGAATAATTTCTCTTGGATTTTATATTTATTTTGGCCCTATCATTTGCATGTGTGTGTGTGTGTATTATTCTATTATTTAAATATCATCACTATTACTTTATTTTTGTAATTCATATTTATGAAGCACATATGAACGTTGCCTGTGTACATTGCCAATTTATTTATGAACTTTCTTTACTGAACAATACAAAGAAACAGCTTTTTTTAAATAAAAAAAAGGCGAGTAAACAGTCGGCAATAAAATAATAAATTATAAGCAGTTACTAGGGCTGTGTATCACCAGCAAAGTCACGATACGATGCATATCATGATACATATGCCACGATACGATACATATCATGATATGGGGCTGCACTGAATTTCACCTCAGAAGAATTTAGTAAAACAGCTGTTTACACTGCATACTATAGGGCCGTTGCTAACTATTGGCAGAGCAGACAGTTGACCTCTGCATTATGAAGGGCCTTCATAACTGTACCACAGTACAATATAGGTAATGGCATATGTTTCATGTTTACATTGTGCACTACCCACCAGGTACAATATTCTGATTGTTTGCATCTTGTTTTTTAAGCCCATAAATAATAATGTACTCGTTCTAATAAATTTATATTGTAATGTACTAATATATTAAAATCATCTTAACATTGCTGGTAGGTTATCATTGCACAAATCAACACACTCCCTACGTTAAAAAAAAAAAAATTAGAAGAGTTCTAAACTAATGCGCTGTCTTCACTGTAAATTACCTCACGCACACACGTTTAGTCACTAGATCATGCTGCGTGCGCACAGACATTCTTTTTAGCGCTCAGACTAACGTTTTAGCTCTGCCCCACAATGTTATCAATAAAATAGCTTAATCGCTGAAGAGCTACATTATCTTTCTCAACAAGGAGCTGGTAACAACATCATTTCTAAAGCAATTAAAGCCACAGCTTTACTGTTAATAGAGAAACACGGCAAAACGGTGTTAATTCATACATACACAGCCCCTCTCTCTCTCTCTCTCTCTCTCTCTCATAAATGAACACTTGATAAATTACACTTTTCTGAGAATAGAATATTGAAGTGGAGACCGCTAAACTGCAAGCTAACCAGTGTTTTCAGAAAGCAAGCGCGTTTATCCACAGTGGAGAGAGTGCGCGTACATATGGTTGCCAGGTTGACAAAAACACATATAACACACTTAGCAGATATTTCCGTATTGCGCAAATGGGAAGCTGTGTTTAGGGGATTAAGTCTCTTTATATCAGGCAACCCAGGTTGTGTTCCTCTGCGGCGAGATTAAACCTTGTTGTAGCCTATACCGTATATTATGCTCTCTTCAT